GTGCGCCGGCACTCGGGGCAGTCGCGGGCGCCCTGCGCCTCCTGCCGCACCCAGTGCTCGGTGATGCAGCGGCGGCAGAAGTAGTGCTCGCAGCCCAGGCTCACTGGGTCCTGGTAGATGCTCAGGCAGATGGAGCACAGCAGCTCGTCCTTGAGGCTGCACGCCATGGCGCCGGGGGCGGCCCGAGAGGCAGGGGGGCGGCGGAGAGCGCGAGGCGCTGTCGGGGGCAGCACCGAGGGATGGGCGCGGGGACGAGGCCCGCACGGGCAAGGGTGGGAGCTACTGGAGAAGGAGGGGGTGCTGTCCGGGAGGAGGGTAACGCGAGGAAGGGATGCGGCGAAGAGACTACCTGGGATGCGAGCCGGGGAGGGCAGTCTCGAGGTAGTGAGTAACCCAAAGCGGAGGGTGCTGGAGAGGGAGGGACGCGAGCGTCTGAGGGAAGGGGCTCCTGGCCAGGAGGTTCTAGGGGGCGGGACAGTTCGAAGGGAACGGGAGCTGGGAGAAGGGGATCCAGCAGAGGGTTGGAGGCCTTGAGGGGGTCGAAATCCCGGGATGGGGATAGCGGGGGGAGGGGGAGAAGCTGGGGATGGTGAATTCTGGGGAAGAGGGAAGCCGGGCCGAGCAACACCGCGGCTGTGCCCCGCAGAGAAGAGGTGGGGTGCCGGCCCGCTCAGCTGCCGGATCCCGGCCCTAAGCCCCGGCCCGGCGCGGCCCCTTACCCCTGCCGGCTCAGCAGCCACCGCTTCGGTCCAGCGCAGCCTCTCAACCCGGAACCAGCCGAATCCGAGCTGCCGGTGGCGGCGGCTGCCTCCCCGCCCCCGTGGGCGGGACCCGAGCGACTCCGCCCCCGCAGCGGGCGGGGGAGGGGCGGGGCCTCCAGCCTATTGACCCCCGCCCCGCCCCCACCATCCTCCAGCTCCGGAGGAGCGAAGCCCAGCTGTTCCTTCGCGATGTGTACTTGGAACTGCATCCAGGTCTCGCTTAGGGTCCCCGCGGCGAGGCGGAGGTGGGGAGAGTAGCTAATTTGAGAGGACAACGAATAAACAATCCGAATCCTCAATTTGAAGCTTTAGGAACAAATAATACTTTGTATTAAATAAGGATATGGAGTATAATCTGCATAAAATACAACTTTTGCATAAAATAGAAAGATAAAAACTCGAGAAATGCCCTACTTGCTTAGAACAAGCTCAGAGGTCTCACACTCCTAAGCTCTGGGGTCCCTCTTCACTTACTTAAGGAGTGTTTGAGGGAAAATTTTGGAATGCCCTGGCTAATGTCTCACCCAAGGGGTTCCCTCCATTCGGCAAACGTTAACGGAGTGCTGTATTTGTGTGTGTGTGTGTGTATGTGTGTGTGTGTGTGTGTGTGTGTGTGTGTGTGTGTGTATGGGAGGGGGTAGTGGAGCAGGAGAGAGGGAGAAAGAGTAATAGGAGACCTTGTTTTGTGTGCCAGATGGAGAGGGGATAAGGGATTTCTAGACAGAGGGAGAAAGTGTGTGCAAAAGCACAGAGGCGTGAAAGGGGAGGGCACATAGATGGCAGTGCAAGTAATTCTGTACTGCTGGGGTGGGGTGAGGAGGGGCCTTGGATGAGGTGGAGGGCACTGAGAGTCATGGTAAAGACTTTCTTGGGCTTTCAAGCAGGGGAGTGACCTGGTCGGATTTGGGTTTCAGAAGTCTCAGAGATGCTCATTATACCATCAGCAACGTAAAGAAGAAGGGATCTTTTCCCATGTGTCTGCATATGCACACAGTAAAGAATGATGGTAGGAAAGACGTGAAATGCAGGAGAAAGGAAGTACAGGGCACCAGTGAGGTCACTTGTCATAGTGTCTGCAGGAGGCTATAACTTGAGCTGGGGCTCTGACATTAGGTCAGGAGAGAAGAAAGGTATTGAAAGTATAGACCTTATGGAATTTGGTGGTGGATTGGATATGGGGGTGAGGGAGAGGAGGCACTGAGGTGGCACCTCCAGAAATGTCTTCACTGGAGTTAAACTTCACTGAGGTACAATTTAGGAAACAGCTCTAAGTTTCATTCTCTGCTGTCAACATGTCCTTCATACACGCTCACCTGCCCAGTGTCTTCAGCATTGCCAGAGAAAGATTGATTGCTTATGCAACAGTCATTCCTTAACTTTTCCTTGTGATTAGAGTCCTGATTTTGTTCAAGTGGCGCCCTTCCCCATGTGACCAAGGAAAGGGTGACTCCAGCCCAGCTCCAGGAATGAGTCCTGTTTGGTCCAAGTACATCATGGTGGTCAAATTCCTCTTGCCAATGATTATTTGGTCAGGTCTGACCTGAGAAACCAAAGGGGAAGCCTGTGTCAGAAAGGGGACTTCTGGAAAGTGTATCTTTACATTGAAAAACAGTCTACCCCTTTTGCTGGCATGTGTTTGGTGGCAATGCTTGGAGCCGCAGCAGTCACCTTTCTCCCAGCCTGTGGATACAGTCAATACATGAGGGAGATGGGATAAAGAGAGTCCTGGGGAAGAGAAGCTTTTGCTTTGACAAAGAGCCTGGACTTCAGAATATGTGAGATGGTCCATCATTTTGCTTAAGCAAATTTAATAGTAGTGCAATGTCACTGGCCACCAAAGGAATCCCAAAAGATACACTGACAAACACCCCCAAATGAAGGTGGGGACAGGGGGTCAAGCAGGGCAGAGTCTAAATAATTAAAGAATTTGAAGTGCAATGAAAAAAGTCTTGATGGATGGAACAGCAGCTACATTATTTAGCATAAATCTACTGATACTGACTCTGAGCAGGCCTTATGCAAGAGGTTGGAATAAATTTTGTTCCTTAATCCCAAGGAGCTGGGCGTCTATAGGGAAAAACAATGAGAAATTCTCATTAGCCACAGTAGGGTTTACAAAGCACTCATTTGTTTTTGAGTCAGAGTCTTACTCTTGTCGCCCAGGCTGGAGTGTGGTGGCATGCTCACAGCCACCCCAGCACTGACCTGCTGGGCTCAAGTGATCCTTCTACCTCAGTCTTCTGAGTAGCCAGAACTACAGGCGTTCACTACCACGCCTGGCTAATTAAAAAAAAAATTTATTGTAGAGACGAGGTCTCACCAAGTTTCCCAGGCTGATCTCGATCCCCTGGGCTCAGGCAATCCTCTCACCTGGGATTATAGGCTTGAGCTACCGCGCCCGACCCTAAGCACTCTTACATAGATTATAGATCGGAGTCTCAAAGCAATCTTAATTAGTATATATTATTATCCCCATGTTATAGAGGAAGACACTGAGGCCCAGAAAAAGGAAATGTAGTAGAAATTGCTAGTTGTCCATCTAAATCCTCCTGTTCCTTTTAGTAATAGAGTAGCATTTGGAGGAATGGTTGATCTGCTGTTCTTGCAGCTGTTCTTGCAGTTGAATGAGGCTTTGTGACTAAGCTCTTTCCAATAAAACATAAGCAGAAATAAACCCTAAGGCATTGGGCTTTTGCTCTTCTGAGCTCCCTTTCTTCTTCCCTTGAATTGAAACATAGATGTGTGAGGGACCCAGCTGCAATAATGTTTCAAAGGGGCTGACAGAGCAAAGCTGTAGAAGGAAGCTGGGTTTCTGAATGACTACGTGGAGTAGAGACACCCACCAATATGGAAATAAACTTTTATCTTCAGTAAGTCATTGTATTTTGGGTCTCCTTGTTGCAGCAGCTTAGCCTTCCCTGTGCTTTTTAACATCTATTTTAGAAGAGGCACTGGAAAAGAGGCACTGGTACTATTTTATTGTATTGTCTAAATCCTTTCAGTAGATAAATTCCTCTTACTATCTCGTACCAATCTCCTTCAAAGGGTATGGAATATGGCTTCCTCTGGCTGAAAGTAAGCTTATTTTATCTTTCAATTTACTTTCCAGTTTTTAGTCTTTTAGACCTCTGAGGAGTTCTTCTCTTGACCTTATTCCATCTCAGTTAAGATTCAGAACACTAAAATTCTTGATTTTGCAAGCCATTTGCTCTCTTGGGATCTCTGTTTCCCCAACCTGATGCAGTTGAGGGATCTGAACTAAGATTTAGAGATCCCGACTGCGGTGTATACCATCTGCTTCCATTCATACCCTAAAAAATAACACCAGGAAATTTTTTTTGGAAGCTATCCAAGAGCTATTGATGAGTGAAAAAAGAAAGCAAGCAAGACCCAAACACACATAGATGCAGATGCACACAGACTTAAATACGAACACAGGCATTATTTGCAGAACAAAAATTCTGCAGAACTGTATTCTCATTGTGTTAATCTATGGACTGGGATTGTGGAGAAACTTTAACTTTTACAGTATATAGCTCTGTTTATTATATTAATTTTATAATCAGAAAAAATAAAGATATGCTCACTCCTCATTATTTGTGGATACTATATTTGCAAATTCACCTACTTCTAAAATTTATGTGTAACACTCAAATCAACCAACAATTGAGGCGTGTTTGCAGTTTCATGAAGTCACAGAGAGGTGAACATTTCAAGTTGTCCACACATATGTTCCCAGCTGAAGCTGAATTAGGAGACCCTGTCTTCTTATTGCAGCTCTCATAATATAAACAAGTATCCTTTTTGTGACCTATTTAGTGCCACATTTTTTCTCATTTTTGTGCTTTCTGTTGATGATTTTGCCATTTAAAATGGCCCCCAAGCATTGTGCTGAAGTGCTGTCTCGTGTTCCTAAGCACAAGAAGGCTGTGATGTGCCTCAGGGGAAAAATATGTGTATTTGATGAGCTTCATTCAGACATAAATTACTCTGCTGTTGGCCGTGAGTTCAATATTCATGAATCAACAATATGTATTAAATAAAAAGTCTTTAAACAGAAACACACATAAAACAAGGTTGTATACTGATCCGTTGCTGAAAATATGACCAGAGACTCTCTGGAACCTGATGTGTATTTCCCTAGGGGCAATGATTCAGTATTTGCTAATTCAGTTTTTGCAGTGACTTTATAGAACATAGCTACCACCAATAATGAGAGTCAAGTGTATTTAAAATTACTGTGTGTAACAGCGTTCACCGGTACAAGATACCAACAACCACATCCCATGCCATTGGTTTCCAATGGCTCAAGCCCACTCAAAGGCAGAGGGGCAGGAGAATGGTTGTTGTATGAGCAACTTCCATGTGCCAGGCACTGTGTCACATGCTTCATGTCTGTTATTTAATTTGATCCTCACAGCAGTCCTCCAGAATTGACATTTTCCTCCCCATTGGTAGACAAGGAAACTGCGGCTCAGGAGGAAAGTGACCTTCCAAAAACCAGGGCAAGCAAGCAGTCTAGGCTTCTCTACCCCAAGCTACTGGAGAAGGTTTCCCACTGTGCATATTGGAGCAAGAACACATCTGGGGGATCAGCTCCATTCAGTAGGCTTCATAAATGGTCCAGCTACGCTCACTTTCTCAGTTCCTCCTTACCATTCCAAACCTTTGCCTGACTGCTCTCACCCTGCAGAGATACCCCTGCTCCCTCACAGTGGGGGACCTTGCCTCCTGCTCCATGGAGAAAGTTGAACCCCTCCAGGAGGACTTCTCAACTCCCAGTCGCTTCAATCTGTCAACTTGTCTAGAAACACCTCAAGTTCTCTGTGAAATGAGGTAGAGAGTGAAATAAACAAGTGGATGGAGTAAATGCACGTCTAATGATCTTCATCCTCAGCCCCCTTCCTTTGGTCCCAGAGGAAGTAGCCGTGCCTTCTGTTCAAAACGGACTCCTCCCCCTGGGCCCTGTCTAATCCCCTCATGCCTTCTCTGGGATCTGAGTCCTTCAATTATCCCCTCTTGACTTTTTTTTTTCCTGCTTCCTCATCATTGGCTGGTTTTCCTCAGCCTATAAACATGCTTAAATTTCTCTCAAAATGATGCTCTCAGCACTTCCCCCACCTTTAGCTACCACTTCGTTTCTTGCCTTTCTCTAGTCCGACTTCTTGAGAGTCGTCCGCACGTCTTCCCCTGCCATCATCAACCTACT